TCCGTACTTGCTTCTTTAAGTTATATTTATTTAATAATAATTAAATTTATAATATTAAGTCACTCATTTTAATAATGAATATAAATAACATTAATATGATAAAATATAGAATAAATAATAGATTATACAAAATATATAATAATTATAATTTTAGAAAATAAAAAAAATAATCAAAATAGTAGAATGATAGAAACGATTTTGAACTATTATAAAAATATGATTAGACTGAACTTATAATTACTAGTCTTTTTCGTGCATCTTCATTTTCTCTGTTAGTAGCATCTTTATACAATTCAACTGCCTTTTTATCAATTTCGGTTCCAATCTCATTCTTATAATAGCTTCCAAGTATATATATTCCATTTAAATATCCTTTTTCAGTTGATTTTTTAGATATTCAAAATGATTATAAGATTGAAACAATGCAATAACAAGTAAAGAGACTTCATATCAATGATGATGGTATGATGATAAAACAATTATTTAAATTCTTATAATAATTATTCTACAGTATTTTATTATTTTTAATTTTATATTTGATAGACGAAGATGAAGTACATAACAATCCTAATCTTCATTCAGAAGAACAAGATGAATCGGAAATTCCTGATAGTAAGAATTATTTTTAAAATGTTTAAAATTTACCATAAATTATTAAATTACTAAATTTAACGTTCTTTTAGATATTTAGATACGGATGAATTATATAAATTAGATAACATTATTATACCTGATTTTTTTTGCTTATTAAAATTATTTAAACACTATGACTTATGAGATTTTTTTCAAAATTTTTAGTTTGTAATTTGAATAATTTATTCTTTTATTTTTATCTTTTTCTTTCTCATTATATTGTTATATTAGTAGCGTAAACTGAACGCGTTTATTAATAAATTTTAAAGTATATTTTAAATTTAAATTTTATAATATCTCATGCGTGATAATATGATTCATACAAGAAAATATATAAATATATAAAAAAGTAAATTCATTAAAGTCACGGTGATCGTTAATATGAATTGTTGCAAAATTTCTTTGATATATATATATATATCCGAAATTACCAGAATTATCATAATTCTGAATCCAAATCACATGATATACTATTTGCTTTTTACGACCGCATCTTCGGTAATATAGCGCTCTCACTAACTCATATATTTTATTTACATTTAGAAGAAAAAGGGGTTTAAAATTAAATTTATAATATTCGTTTATTTAGATGTAATTTTTTTTTTAAAAAAATAATTGCCTTACAATAAAATATTCGTCATTTCGTCTCTTGTTTATGAAAACTATGTACATTTTTTTATTAAATTTTTATCTATTATTTTTAAACATCTTATTTATTTATAAAATTATAAAACACATAGTAAACAAATTTTTATATAATTAAAATTTTTTTAAGGGCTGTACAAATAAAAAATTTTACATCTAATAAAAATATAATGATGCCTTATTTTGTAAATTGTAGCATGTATAATTAATTTTAAATAAGTTATGATGTCAATATTATAAATAAATTGAAATTTCTAGAATTACTGCTTAAATTAAGTTTAAAAGTTTAAACAAGTAATAATTAGTGAATAATGTTCCTAATCAGTTATATACTTAATTCGGCCTGTGACAAAATATTTGGCGAGAATTACTTTTTTTTGAAAAAGTTTTCAAATGTTTTATTCAAACCGAAACATTTAATTTTAGTAATTTGTTTTATTATTCAAATAATAATAATCCAATAATTTATAAATAATCAGAGTTAGTTTGTCTTATAACTCTACTTTTCATTTAAATTTTTAACCAATTTCAAATTATATTCATTAATTACTAATAAGTTATACATACTTAATTGTTAATAAATTACTTTGAATTATTATTTATTGGTTGGCTCCCAGAATTTAGATCCAAATTGAATCAGAAAAACATAATTTTTTAATCACTGTATCTTATTTACATTTTTTATATTTATTTCTGTATTAATTAATATTTTAATTATGATATCCTAATCTCGTGATTCTAGACTCTAAATTCTAATTTGTTATTCTCGTATATTGAAATGATAATATTTTGGTTTAGAAAACAAATATTCCTATAACTCATAAAAAAAAAAATTAAAAATACAATAAATTCTAAAATCTTAACATTATGAAAGCACTTACTAGTATTAATATATTAAAGTCTATATATGTTTGCTATATTCGGAAATATTACTCTATAAATTTCATATTTATTATTCAGTTTTATATAAACTTCCTCATAATTATAATTGGATGTACTTGTAAGTATGGAAGTTGCATAATCTTACCATTTTTCTAAGAATTTCCCTAATACCTATGGTTATTAAAAGGAGAGGATTTTTGGTAAGTTTTGAATATAAATATGAAAAGAATTCAAATTACAGTTAAAATATTTATTTCATATAGTCAACAATATACTCCTTAAGTAAACGGTGTAAAAAAAACAATTTATAAATCGTAAGTTGACCTTTTTTCATTTGAAAATTTCGATTTAAAATCATTAACTTTCGGGCGGCAATATCATCAACTATCATCAACTTAATAATATCGATTTTTAAATAAACTTCGAGTTTAAAAGTTCATAAATTACTTTCTAATTGTGAAAGAGGGAAAAATTTAGTTGAAATCTGAGGTTATATTATTTTATCGTTATAGTCTGGAATTTTTTTTTTTATATTTTCAATAAACTTATAAATAAATTGCTGCATACTTTTGTTGCGTACTTTAGCTATATAAAATAAAATTTTTTTTATTAACATAATTGTTTAAATTTTTATCAAAAAAATCAACATCCAAATGGTCACACCGTACACTTAGCGTTAGAAACTTGATGTATATTGTATCTTAGGCTGATGATAATGAATAAACTTCGATTACGAAAATGGAAACATATTAGTGAAACAAGAAAATCAAAGTAAGAATTGAAATTCCCATGCTTTGAATCCATCAGTTTGTCACTTACTTTATATTTATTAAAGAGGACACAATGGTCAGCTTATTAAATAAAGTGCTAAAGGCGATCAAATTATATTCAAAATGCAATCCATTATAATTTTATAAATTGGATTTTTAAGTAAACTGCTTTGATTTAACATCGATATACTCTCTCTTGTTCCACCACTTGACGGTAATATTTTTTAAACAACGATCTTGTAATCAGCTTGGTGCTGGTAGAAAACATTTCACGTTAAGATGGAGTTCCATTTATGATTCAACAAAAGATGATGTATTTTATTAAGAAATATTCACAAATATATTCGTAAAAATACTTTTATTGCTCTCGAGGTTGACTTGATCATTTTATAGCCCGTTATAATCTTTCTATTTGTCAAAAAACAAAAATTGGACACATATAGATCTTTCTTTAAAAACAGAATTGTTGAAAAAAAGGTTTAAAATGCTAAAAACTATTTAGGTTGGTACTATTGGATGATTAAAATAGATTTATTTGTGTTTTAACAATTGCATCACCCGTTAAACCATTAAATTTTTGTCTTAATAAATATTTCAAGAATAGAATGCGTTAAGAATGGCAGGATAGGATGGCTAGTAAAGAATATTCTTTTACAAAAGGTGGTAAATGGATTTTAGAAGTTTCTATAGAAATAGTTTGCAATAGTTTTAGAAATGATCATCAATTAACATATGTCGAGCAAGCATCCCATTGGGTACGTTTCTTATGAAGAATTTGGGACAAATAAAATTATTTTGCACAATAAAATAAATTCACTATGAACAATTATTAAGGAACTATTCTTTTCATCCAATCAAAAAAGCAAAGTTTTTATGATTCTACTTTTGAATTAATCAAGTTCAGGAATGCAAGTTCGATTTTTTTAATTAAAAAAAATTTTTTTTTTTTAACGGAAAAATGTCAGGTTTGACGTTTTTAATTAAAAAAAAGAATTTTTTGATTTTTTTTCTAATAAAACAACATCGAGTTCGACGTCTTTTTCATTAAAAAATGTTTATTTTTTTATTCTTTTAGTGAAAAAACGTCATTAATTAAAAAACATTTTATTTTATTTTTCATTTTTTTTAATTGAAAGACGCCGAGTTTGACATTTTTTAATCAAAAAAAAAAAAACTATTTTTTATTTGTTTTTTAATGAAAAAACGTCAGGTTCGACGTTTTTAATGAAAGGGTCAATGGGTCAAATGGGTTAGATTAAAATTCACCCAACCCGTTATCAGATCAGTAAGTTTATTGGCCCAACACGAAATATTCAGGTCAACCAAACAGGTCACCCAAGTTGACCCGTCCCATTCGGGAACAGCTTCAATAAATAAATTTTATAATAATACTTTAGATATTATAATTTAGTTACAAGAAATAACGATTATAATATCATTCTAAGGTAATAATATTAGTAATTTTGAAATATGATGGATTTGGATATTATACTTAAATTTACTTAACAAATTGAAAAATGGTAATGTTCAATTCTTTTTTACTTTATTGTAAAAACTGTATGTAAAGTACACAATATAAATATTTTTTATATAATAACTGATAAATAATTCAATAAATAAAAAATAAATAACAGAATTATTTAATCAATAGGTTTGAAATCATCATCAATCTCCTGAAACACTTCTTGACTAAAAATTTTAGAGCTTGTAGAACTTGTAGAATATGCTTGTTGTATAATAGAAGTATTTACTTTTTCTTGAGTTAAATTTGCTTCTTTTTGTGTTAAATTTGCTTCTGCTTGTGTTAAAGCTTTGTCTGCTTTAACAAATTCAAGCATATCATTTTTTAATTTCTTATCAATATTAGGTACTTCAAAGATACGATTTCCATCCCTATTAAATATATAATAATCATTAATACATCCAATCCATTCAGATATAATATCTTCGAGCATTGTTATATCAGGTCTACTGGAAGGATCTGAATCCCAACATTTTTTCATTAAATCTATATAACATTGTGGAGTATTTTCATCAATTTTAGGACGATCCCCTTGACAAATTTTCGAGATAAGTTCATGATCATATGCTTCACCATTAAATGGAGGAATACCTGATGTAAATTCCCACATTATCATTGAGAAACTATAAATATCACTTGCTGGTGTATATGGTTCGTATCTTAATATTTCAGGCGCCATAAAAGGTGCAACTCCCCAAGCTTCATTAACTTTATTGTCAGAATTTTGTAAATCACTATTTATAGGTTTGCATAATCCTAAATCAATTATAAATATCTCATTGTAATCTTCTGACATTAAAATATTACCGTCATGAAAATCACCATGAGTTAAATTTGATTCATGGATTACTTTAAGTCCTAATATAATTTTTTTCAATAATTGTAATTTGTCTTGCCACTTAAATTTAATTATATCAGATAAACATTTTCTAAAACTTCCTTTTTTTGCATAACTCATTACTATAATATAATCTGAATTATTTGGATCTTTGGTAATTCCAAAGAATTGAACAAATTTTGAAAATGATTTTTTCTGACATTCATAATGATACTTCCACTATACAATTAATAATATAAAAAAAATTATTAAAATATTGCAAAGGAAAATAGAATTTGCCATTAAATATAAATACTATACCTCATTCAGAAAATTACTATTTAAATTTGATGAATTATTAAGCATTTTAAGAATAACCTCATGATTTGTTTGTCTATTCCACTGCTGTTTATCAAAATTCCAACTAAAGACAGGCCCATCTGACCAGATAGCTTTATGAATTTCACTAAATCCTCCTTTATCATAATAATTAATGCTTGACAATTTATTATAAGGTATCCACTCCAAAAATTCATAACTGCTTTTAGCACTAAGTTGTGCTTCTTGAATAAATTTATCAATAAATTCATTTTTACTGGTCCACTTTGAAAAATCTTGTTGAAATCGTTTAGCATTACATTGTTGGCACCACTGGTAATCAATACGTTGTTCACATTCATTGCATAATTCAACTTCATTTTTAAAATTTACTTTGTTACTTTCAGTTGCTTTTTGATGCCAATAAAAGGCTTTTTCTAAATTTTTTTCTATTGCTATTCCATTTTCATAATATATAGCTAATTTGAACATTGCAACTTCATGACCATTTTCTGCTGCTTTTTGATACCATTGAAAGGCTTTTTCTGGATTCTTTTCTGTTCCTACTCCATATTCATAATGTATGGCTAAATTAAACATTGCTTGTTTATTACCTTTTTCTGCTACTTTTTGACACCAATAAAAGCCTTTTTCTGAATTATTTTCAGTTTCTACTTCATTTTCATGATAAAAGGCGGCTAAATTAAACATTGCTAATTCATTGTCACTTTCTGCCGCTTTTTGATACCAATGAAAGGCTTTTTCCAAATCCTTTTCTGTTCCTTCTCCATCTTCATAACACATGGCTAAATTATGCATTGAATCAGTTAAACCATTTTCTGCTGCTTTTTGATACCAATAAAAGCCTTTTTCTAAATCCTTTTCTATTCCTACTCCTTTTCTATAACATATGGCTAAATCATTCATTGCTTTTGTATTACCATTTTCTGCTGCTTTTTGATACCAATAAAAGGCTTTTTCTAAATTCTTTTCTGTTCCTTCTCCATTTCTATATTTATTGGCTAAATAATGCATTGCTTCTTCATTATCAGTTTCTGCTGCTTTGTGACATAAATCAAAGGCCTTTTTTAAATCCTTTTTTGTTCCTTCTCCCTTTTCATAACATGTGGCTAAATTAAACATTGCCTGTTTATGGCCTTTTTTTGCTGCTATTTGACACCAATAAAAGGATTTTTCTAAATCCCTTTCTATTCCTAATCCATTTTCATGATAATAGGTGGCTAAATTAAACATTGCATCCATATTACCATCTTCTTTTTCTGCTGATTTTTGATACCAATGAAAGGCTTCTTTTAAATTCTTTTCTATTCCTTTTCCATTTTCATAACATATGGCTAAATTAAACATTGCATTCGCATTATTACCTTTTTCTGCTGCTTTTTGATACCAATGAAAAGCTTTTTCTAAACTCTTGTCTATTCCTATTCCATTTTCATAGCATATGGCTAAATTAAACATTGCTTCTTCATTACCTTTTTCTGCTGCATTTTGAATCCAATTAAAGGATTTTTCTAAATCCCTTTCTGTTTCTACTCCATAATTATGATAATAGTCAACTAAATTAAGCATTGCTAATTCATTACCATTTTCAGCTGATTTTTGATACCAATAGAAGGCTTTTTCTAAATTCTTTTCTGTTCCATTTCCATTTTTATATGAATTGGCTAAATTAAACATTGCGTTTGCATGTCCATTTTCTGATGCTTTTTGATACCAATAAAAGGCCTTTTCTAAATTCTTTTCTGTTCCTTCTCCATTTTCGTAACATATGGCTAAACTATACATTGCTTCCTTAACACTATTTTCTGCTGCTTTTTGATACCAATAAAAGGCTTCTTTTAAATTCTTTTGTGTTCCTTCTCCTTTTATATAACATGTGGCTAAATAATACATTGCTTCTTTAATATCATTTTCTGCTGCTTCTTGATACCACTCAAAGGCCTTTTTTAAATTCTTTCTTGTCCCTTCTCCATTTCCATAACATAAGGCTATGTAATACTTTGCTTCTTTAATACCTTTTTTTTCTGCTTTTTGATACCAAGTAAAGGATTCTTCTAAATTTCTATCTGTCCCTGCTCCATTTCTATAACACATGGCTAAATAAAACATTGCTTCTCTTACACCATTATTTGCTGCTTTTTGACACCAATAAAAGGTTTTTTCTAAATTCCTTTCTATTCCAACTCCATTTCTATAACACATGGCTAAATAAAACATTGCTTCTTTTACATCATTTTCTGCTGCTTTTTGATACCAATAAAAGGTTTTTTCTAAATCCCTTTCTATTCCAACTCCATTTAAATAACACGTGGCTAAACTAAACATTGCTTCTTTAACACCATTTTCTGCTGCTTTTTGATACCAATAAAAAGCTTTTTTAAAATTCAATTCTGTTCCTTTTCCACCTCCATAGCATATAGCTAAAATAAACATTGCTTCTTTATCGCCATTTTCTGCTGCTTTTTGATACCAATAAAAGGCTTTTTCTAAATTCTTTTCTGTTCCTTCTCCATTTCTATATGTATTGGCTAAATAAAACATTGCTTCTTTATCATCATTTTCTGCTGCTTTTTGATACCAATAAAAGGCTTTTTCTAAATTATTTTCTGTTTTATCTCCATTTCTATAACATATGGCTAAATTAAGCATTGCTTTAATATCACCATTTTTTGCTAATTTTTCAAAAGAATTAATACATTCTTTGCAATATAATTCTTCAGTAAAAGTTTTATTGCAATAC